GATTTTGGCTCAGGTCATGATCCCAGGATCATGGGATTGAGTCCTGCATTGGATTCTATGCCAAGTGTGGAGCCTGCTTAAGATGCTCTCTCTTTCTTCCTCTGTCCCTCTCCCCTGCTTGTGCTCTCACTCCCTCTCTAAATAAACAAACAAACAATAAAAAGTAAAAAACATATGTCTCCAGCACTTACTTGAGGAAATAAAGAAAAGTTTCAATAAGAAAACAAAAAATAATCTGCAGTTGCATAGCTGAGGGATAATCAGTTTGGTGGAGATAGAACTCTGATTTAGGGCAGCTTAAGATTATATCATAAAAGAAAGATTTTACTTTGTTTTATTTTCTGTTTTGAGAACTGCACAATGGACCCATCTGGGGTAATGAGATTTGGAATATGAAATTTATCAAAAACCAGTAGAGCCCAGAGACAACAGAAATCTTTGTTCTGCTTTAAATAAGTTCACTGTAGTGATAAGAAAAGTTTACCCATAAGAAGAAACTCCTGGGACTTATTTTCTCTCCTTCTGTGATGCCTCCTTGCTCCTGACTATGCCTTGAATTTAGTGTTAACATGTGTTATGCATGGGCGCTGAGATCTCATGTGGACTCTACTGAATGAGAACCACGATGGGAGAGGGGAATGGACAGGGGCTGGAAGAAGCCTTCTCAGGCCAAAGAAGACCCATTGCTGAAACGTTGGGATATACATTTCCTAGATTTTGGGTAGTTTCCTCTTCCTATGTCCTTCAGATTTTAAAGCACAGCAGTGAGCAGCACCAGTACTCCATAGAGACAAAGATGTGAGGTAGTGTGGGGCCACAGCCCAGGAAAAGACTGGTGCCAGGAGTCCTGCATCAGGTGGAGTAAGGATGTCTTCTCTTACAGAATTTGTTAACTAGAGGGTGACCACAGTCAATATTCCATGATCTTAAAGCTCTCTGTTTTACTCAGTCCCCTGTTAAGATTTCCTTATAGTCCTTCTAAACTTAAAAAGAAAAAAAAAAAAAAAAGATATTTTCGTATACTTTAGGGCTATTTTGGTTTTTTAAAGTGAAGAGTGTATGAGTGAGCGAGAAAGAGTAAAAGGAAAAGAAAGGGCTTATAGCATTGTAACTAAAAGTCTCAAACCCTTGATAAGAAAACACTATGTGCTCTGCTACTATTTACTGTTCTCAGAATAGCAAATATAGAAATACTAATATTAACACCACTACTACTACTATTACTAACAATAATAGAAAATATAGAAATTTTTTACTGTGTACCAGGCATTGTTCCATGGCTTCTACATGTAACTCAGTCCTCACAACTGCCACATGAGGTCCTTAACCCTATTTTATATCTGGGTAAGTTAGAGCTCAGAAATAAAGTGAAGGGCTCAGAATTCTAACCTAGGAAGTGGCCTTAACTATTAGACATGCTGCTTCCGATATATTGCTTCGAGACAAAACCAAAACTGTAACATGCACTTAATCTGTTCACCCACAGACGCACTCTTCATCCAGAAGAAGGCAGTGGAGAGCATGGTGAACTGTACAGACTGCAGCCACACTCCAGCTCTGGCAACAATAAGAATAAGTGGCTTTTCCTTGGGCAAATCATAACTTTCTAAGCTCATATAATCTCTAAACTAAGATTAGTTTCCTTATCTGTGTAATAGGTCAGAGAATACCTATCTCAAAAGGTTATTTGAGGGACTAAATAACATAATATTTGAAAAGTCAAAAGAATGGTAGTCATTACACTTCCTGACAATTACTGTTGCATTAGAAACCAAGAAGACTTCTGTGTTGTATTCTGCATAAGCTAATATGGGTCATCTCATTTTTTTTAGGGGAAATCACCCAATGTGTGGGAGGATGATGATGGAGAGGAGGTGTGCAGAGAAGGAGTTAACAGACCACCATAAGTGTATAGGGAGATGCTTGTGTCCTAGGCACCTGGGTAAGTGGAGAGAAGTATGGTGGGGGCAGAAGAAGACAGGGAAGGAGTCCAGGATGACTTCTGATGCTCAGCTTAGGAGGACTGAGGGAGGCTGGGAAATGGAGCCACTCAGGGTGGCAGCTCAGTAGGCTCCAGTCTCTGAGTGAAAGCTCCCATATCCCTTGCTTTCTCTACTTTGGCTATCCAAATCTAGGAATAGAACAGGTTCACATGGGGGAGGGAGACGTGTGAGAATGGACAGCAAGCGAGAATCAGAGCAAAGCACAGACAGCCTGGCCAGCAGCCGCAGAGGTCCAGGTTCAGCTCTACCGTGCAGACGACTGCAGGGGAGATCTATGTGTTTTATAATTAGCACATGATAAGAGGAATGCTTTCTTCCATTTTGGCACGAGGTTCTGGAATGTACAGTCACAATCCTGGTATGCTATCAAAAGATTTTGTATCCCAAACCTTCTACTATTGTGTCACTGGTATGGCGGCTTGTGGGATAGTCTGGTAGGAAGCAAAAGCCAGTACCTTTTTGATAACAATGAAAATCCTTGGATTTATATCCTATGACATGATGTTAGGGGCATTGTTTAGCACTTGGCATAGCTCTGAATACCGAGGGCAGAAGACCAAAGGAAAAAGTCTACTTTGAAAGCTCTCTCAGAACATATCTGAGGGAATTTGCTGGTTAATGCAAATACATGTCCAAACAAGTACTGGTTTACGTAGGGAGTACACAGAGCTGGCAAGCGTCACTTGGCATGAAGAGCGTGAGTAATGCTTCATTTTAATGAGGGATCTTGGGGGTCTATAATGAAGGGTACGTGGTATTTCCCATGTGTCTCTTTGAAACGTGCACTGAATGTACCCACAGTGGAAGAAAAGCCATTGGAAAGTATATATTTCCCGAAACTTCTGGGGCTCTGTAAGATTCAGATAATTAAAAAGAAACTTTTTTAACATTTATTCATTTTTGAGAGACAGAGCATGAGTGGGGGAGGGGCAGAGAGAGAGGGAGACATAGAACCTGAAGTAGGCTCCAGGCTCTGAGCTGTGAGCACAGAGCCCGATGTTGGGCTGGAACCTGCAAACTGTGAGATCATGACCTGAACCAAAGTTGGACACTCAACCGACTGAGCCACCCAGGCGCTCCCAGATTCAGGTAATTTAATTGCATACAAATGAATTCACAGAAATACATTCAGAGATCTCAGAATAAAAATCTTCCCTTCCCAGAGGTAACCATATATGAGTACACCGTAATGAGATTATATTTGGGAAGGCTAAGGGGGTTTTTGATTCTTAATGATTTTGATTTTTAAATGAACGTATCCTTAGAATAATTCATGCTCCCCTACACGACTCTTCTGAAAGATAAGAGTCATTTAAATATCAAGTTAATACATATAAAGTAAATATATTTAGTTTTAAGACATAATTTCAGTCACACTTCACTTGTGAGCCCTGATCATCTGGACCTTTTCTATCAGAGAAAATCAATACTTAACACTTTGGGTGGAAACAAAAGATCTAGGAAGTGACTAGGAAAACAAACATTCCCCAATCTTTGACTAGTCAATGAAATGGCAGATGGAGTGAATGTTATTGCATGTTTGTCCTGAGGTCTATTGTCTGGATGTTCCCTTAGATCCAACCACCAGGTAGGACTTCCTAGAAACAAATTCCCCTTCTGGTCAGATCTGGGGCGTTATGTGGTCATTCACGCAAAGTATGTGAAGCACTGTACTGACCTTTATTTTGTATTTCTGAGTTGGCTGGAGCAAAACGCTCCATGGTTGCCTGGGCCTCCCAAAGCGCTCAGGGATTCTGGAGGGATTAAGTACAGTTCTGGGGTGTTTGGGAGAACTTGTTCAGTCCTTCAGTCTTAAAGGAAAGGATGGTGACCCAGAACTCAGGAAGAGAGTCCCAAGAGGCAGAAATGCTGGCAGGAGGGACCTCTTCTGTGTACACTAATATATCAAAGAGGACTTGGAATTCTAAAGAGAAGTGAGAAATTCTCTGTCTTAAAAGGAATAATTTTGAAACATTAAAACATGATAAGAACTGAAATTAATGTGAAGTAAACTTAACAGGCAACTGTACTGTTATCAGATTAATGTGGCACCACCCACTTGGGACCTATTCGTGCCCCAGAGGCCAAGTGGAGATTTCTTGTGATTTATTTATCCCAATTTGAAAAAACAAAACCCTTCAATGCATGCTATAATCACTAATTGCAAGACAGGTTCTAAACTGACTCAGGAAAATGTCCATTTTCCCTCGTTTCCTCTGAAGTTTAAGGTCACTCCTCTAAAGAGGCCATTTCTTCTGTTCTCATTTGCATTTGCTCACCAACAACAGCAACAACAAAAAAAATCCCAAGCAAAAAGCCCTTAAGCAATAAAATCGCTGTCCAAGAAAAACATTTAGTTTGAAAAAGAGTTGAAAAATGTAGCCTTGGAAGAACCATTGCTTACATGGGATTGTTCAACAAATTCCTGTTGTGTGAGGTTTGGCATATACTTTCTAAAAATATAAGCATCTGGGGAAATGAGACAAAGCCCAGGTCCTGGACCAAATGAGGCACGCAGTGTGAATCTGTTAGTGATTATATCCATAATGAAATATGTGCCCAAATTTAGCAGTGCAAAATCTAATACAATACGAAAGCCCAGCAGGCACTGTCCTTACCATAATATATAGCCAACAGAGAAGGTACATATGGCGGCGAGTCCGCTGTTCCTGCTGGGATACGCATGGTGTGATGTCCTCATCTCAATTAATATAAAGGGCAAAACTGTTGTGTGCTGAAAAAGAACAGAGAACAGGTGACACAGATTCTTAGCGCCCCTCAATAGTTGTTTTGTCTCTAGTAGGAGAATGGATAGTGCAGATTCCTAGCAAAAGCACCACAGCAGACAGCAGCTGGGTATGGCTCACCTAAGAGGTAGGAGGGATGGGAAAGCAAGTGGTGCATTGATCACTCCATTGGCATTTTTCTCCTGTGTTTGAATTTTTAAAATTTTATTTTATTATGATTGTTATAGGAAATTTCAATAATATTGAAGGATGTATTAGAACATAAGAAAGGAATAAAAATAACTACTTTAGTATTTTGGTAGATGTCCTTTTTTGCCCTCTCCTTGTTCATATTATTTATACATAGTTAACATTGTACTGTGCACACAATCTTGTTTTGGACTGTAGCATGAGAATTTTTGATATGCCACTTTAGAAATCCTCCTAGAATATCAACCTTGACCATAGCTGCTTAAAACTCCATTTTGTGGATATACTAAAATTTATTTGACTCATTCCTGTTCTTGGACATTAAGTAGTATAAGATCTTCAATTTTTCATTTATGAAAAATGTCATGATGAATATCTTTTGTAGAATTCTTTGAATGTCTGAATGTTAAATTATTTTCTTATGGTTAAAGTCTATGAAGATTTTAGGACTGTTGATACATAATGCCAAATTATGTGTGTACCAGCAGCAGGTTAGGAAACGAAGCCAAATTAGCTTCCAGAAAGGATGTACTGGTTTGTAACAGCAGTACATGTATTTAGATATGATGTTTGAAGTCAGACTCCAAAGAAGCTTGGTAGGACCTTCCCATTTGTTGTTTGGATGCAGTGGCCACTCGGATGCTCAGTTTAGTGGGCCAAGATGTGGATGAAATTTGGTAACAAGAAAGGAAAATCAGCTTGTCTTGGTATTGAAATTTGACAGCCAGGTATATAAGGGACAAAGATCTTAGGTAAAATTGGGTTAGGGTATAGATTTGCCTTTCAAAACGGGAGTTTCTCAAGAGTAAGAAGATGGCAGAACTGAGAACTGAACCACCAGTAAGTTTGAATTCTGTTTAGTACCTCCTAAGGGCCATGAAAGAATCTTTGCTCCTCTCTTGCTGTATTGTTTGCATATTCAAAGAAAATGCAGGAAATTGAATGTTATAATTTTCAAAATCTAATAGGTATCATGGCAAAATGGAACCAGGTGGCAGGAAGAGACATGGTGGTGATATCAAAGTGAACATCTTTGAAGCAACATATTGTTTATATTTATAGAGAAAACAGAAATACAGGATTTTAAAAGAAATACTGATAGTAGAAATTCTTTGCTTTAAGTGTCCTCCTCTAGATAACTGTTCTGACTGACAATATATTAGTAATTAGAGAATAGTATTCCTAGAATGTCGGGTGGGTGATTCCACAGTTGGGTAACTTTATATTTTTTTACTCTCTGCTTCTCTATTGTTGTTTTCAAACAGTATAATTAGCAATGAAGGGAACCATGCAAAATGTACATGTGTGTTGATACAGAGACAGTATGTATTTTAAAGATCTATTTTATTGGTTTTTTTTTCACTATAATCCAGTCACCTCAGATGACATTGGCCTGAAGTTTCACCGATTTGAAACACCAAAACTAGTTTTACAATGGTGCATTCATGTGTAAAATTCAAATGTATAGCTAATAACAAGGCCAAGTCTTGTCAAATCTCACACAGAAAAAAAAAAATCCCTGCAAATCAAACATTTACACCGAAGATATTGCTGACTCGGATGGCCTGTATGGGTTATAGAATGGCGACAATATATTATTTTTGACTTGTGAATATTAAAAAGTGTTTAAATTCTACCTCTTCATCCATTGTTCCAAACTGAGTATAAAATCATCCACATTTCTATATTATATAAGTTCAAGTAACTAATCTGAGTATTCTTACTTATCTGGTTGTCATTATTTTACCTATCCTACTTGCTGATTATCAGATGTCACACCTGGAAGGGTTAGGATGTACTCTGATGATGCCAGACAGAAAATCTCTTTGAAAAGTGAAGATCTTTCTAGATCACTTCATTAATGGCATCATCACCGCTAAAAAGGAGCTACTCGTTCCATCAATGACATCATCAATAACAGAAGATCTTTTTGAGGCCAGCTGTGCCTGTGCCAATTGTGCCAGGGGCAAATCTCAGGGTAACAACTTATTCAGAATTTTCAGGCACTAAAGAATATATATCTCCCTCTCTAAAAGTCTATAATGCAAATTATATTTACTGTTAAACAGTATATATTAACAAAAGTAAAAGTAGTACAAATATTTATAGAAAATATAGACGTTGCTCTGCGGGTTGGTAAGGTTTTATAAACTAAAAAAATGGGAAAAATCTGTAAATGGGCTTGCTGAATCTCTAAGTAACCTTTAGCAGCCCAATTGTTACCCAAAATCTGGGGCAGCCAGAGGGATAATTATTTTAGAACTACAGGTACAAGAAATCCAGTTCTAATCCACTTCCATGCAACACTCTGCTTGAATGACTTAAGAACTAGGAAGGAAATATTCAAATATTCAAGTCCATCCAAGACCACTTGCTGTACAAGAATGATAATCCTATGTTTTGTTCACCACGATATTTGTAGGAAAGAGCTTGACATATAGGAGATGCTCAATAAATATTTGTAGGGATAATTTAATCTTTGACACAATGGGTATTATTAACTTCATTTTGCAGATGAGGTAACAAAGACTCAGAAAAGGTAATTCTCTTGCCCAAGATCACAGAGCTGGAGAAAGGGTTCAAGACCAGTCCTGTCTCCAAATCCTAGGCTCCATTTTCTGTATTAGAATTATATATATATTTTTTTAATTTTTTTTAACTTTTTTTTTTTTTTATTTTTGAGACAGAGAGAGACAGAGCATGAATGGGGGAGGGGCAGAGAGAGAGGGAGACACAGAATCGGAAGCAGGCTCCAGGCTCTGAGCCATCAGCCCAGAGCCCGACGCGGGGCTCAAACTCACGGACTGTGAGATCGTGACCTGAGCTGAAGTTGGCCGCTTAACCGACTGAGCCACCCAGGCGCCCCAATTAGAATTATATTTTTAAAAGATATAGTTATGTAATCTTTGACTCAATAAACCTGTGGGAGTGCATGATTGAAGATCACTTATGTTGTCATTCAACTGGCCAGAACTCTTTTTTAGTTGAGCCTCAAAATAAAGAGGTCTTCACTATAAGGAATATATTTTGCCAAATGTATTCTTTCCTGTGGTATATAAGCATTCTGAATAATAATAATAAAACCAGCTGGCATAAAGTCAGGAATTTTCAGTGGTGTGATGATAAAGATGGCTGGAGGCAGCTCTTTCGTCTTGGCCTAGAAGAGGTCAAGGTGCAACTTTCTTGGTTATCCCACTCTGGGTTGATCTGGTACCTGCTGCCTCCACCATGTCTCTGAAACTCCACTCCAACGGGATCAAAGTCACAGACCTTAAGTGCATGAGTCGGGAAGTCGATGCCACGTCTGCCCCAGCTGCCAAGACTGGACCCTGGGTCTGTCACCCAAAAAGGCAATGATGGGATGATGACATCCCAAGGCAACAGGTGACTGGAAGGGTCTAAGAATGACAGTGAAACTGACCATTCTGAATAGACAGACCCAGATTAAGTAGTACCTTCTGCCTCTCCCCCCCAGTGTCAAAGGCCCCCAGGGACCAGAGACAGAGAGAAGCAAAAGCCCATCAAGCACAGTGGAAGTATCACTTTTGATGAGATGGCCAACATTGCCTGACAGATGCAGTACCGATCTTTATAGTCAGAGAGCTCTCTAGAGCCAGTAAAGAGAACCTGGGGACTTCTCAGTGTGTGGGATGCAGTGTTGATGGCCATCATTTTCATGACATCATAGATGATACTAACAGTGGTACAGTGGAATGCCCAGCTACTTAAGAAGTACAAAGGAAAATATTTCAATAAAGGATCATTTGACAACTGAAAAAAAAAAAAGA